GCATCTTGAACGTCTTTGTAGCGGCGTCCGGTCTCGTCTGTAGCTTGGTGATGTCCGTCTTGGGAGCGGCCACCGTGCTGCTGATCGTGTCCGGTCCGTTGAAAACACCTATGTCGCGGATGATGGTGACGACGTGATCGATGCGTTCGTTGATTTGCTTCGTCGCGTGCGTCGTGCAGCCTGGCGCTGCTGAGGCCTTGGCCTCAATGCCGTTGATGCGTGCGATGGTAGAGTTCATCAGCTGTTGCTGTTGCTGCTGCTGCATGCTGCGTCGCGGACGTCGGCCGTTACAGTGGCCAGGTCTTGCTGGTACTGCTGTCTTTGCTGTCGTTCCGCGTGCAGGTGTGCCTGGAGTAGTTTGTTGTTCCACATTACTCCCCTCATTACGTTCAACATCACGGTAGCGAGGTTACTTCTCTCTGCCTCCGCCTGAGTCGGCTCCGCCTGCGTTTCCGTAGGCATAAAGATCATGCCTTGGAGTACCGTTGTCCACTGATGCTCACTAGCAATCAGGGACTCCGTGCTGGCGACATTCCGTCTGTTTCGTGCCGCGTAGAAGATCAAGACAGTAGGACGAATGTCGAATGTCCCGTTCCGATTGGGAAAAGTGCATGTTTTAGGAGATGTTGTGGTGCTGGATGTGAATACGTATGACGTTCTTTTCGGGCTTCCTGCCTTGGGGGCGCTGCGTGCTAATTTAGACTACGAACGCCGATCCGTCATTCTCTGGAATACTGGGGAAAGTCGTATGTAATACCCATGAAACTAACTCTTCGAATATCGGTTAAGGTAGTACCCCGAATTTCTCCGGAAACAATAGGAGCGCTCCGCATGGTCTCTTGGAGTGCACCGGTGGACGGAGGCCAATCATCGAATGACACAGGGAGCGCCGACGATGACGATCCAGTCGTTACACGGTTAGTACGGCAGCGGATTCACTACCCGCCGCCTCGCACTATTGCGCGTACCATGCATCTAACCACACAGAATGCTCATATGATGATCATGGGAGAACCCCTCGTACAGATTTTGAGGCTGCTTGATTACTTGGAACCCCCTCGGACCCTGTACCAAGGCGTATCTCCCCTTCTCCTTCGGTATAGTGACAAACGTTCCTTTTGTGATCTCACTGGCTTACCTCGATCCCTCCTTCAGCCCGCAAAAGAGGTTCAGTTGTTGCGTCTTGGAGCCGAAGCAGGTTCTTTGGAACCCCCTCAGCGCATCGAGGCAAGATCCGATGAGCTCGGGATCCAAATCTCGCCCAAAAGCGTGCCCTGGCGAGACATCTGCGACCAGATTACCCCCGAAGGTCATACAACGATCAGGGAGGAGGAAGCACAGATGGTGGCCACTGTGTTTTCTTGGAGATCGGATCACTCTTGTATATCTGCACCACCTGACACTACTCGGCGTATACACACGAAGCACGTTAATGTTTGGATTTTTGATCAAATGTATGAATTGCATGTGCCCCAGTATGTACCTGATGAGAGCCATCGGCTGATCGCTGATATTTTAATAGAGTATCAAGGGGCGATTAGCGTGTCCGATGCCGATATTGGGCTATCTGTGGTCGTTCGGCATGAGATTCAGACCGGGAATCATTCCCCAATCCACTGCAAGCCGTACCAATACTCGTTGACAGAGCATAAGACGGCCTTGCAGCGAATCAGGGAGTTTGAGGCAAACAGATGGATTGAGCCTGCCACCGGTCCCTGGTCGTTCCCAGTTGTATTGTTTCCTAAAAATAATGGGTCGGTCTGCATATGCATCGATTATCGAGAGCTAAATGATATCACGATTAAAGATGTGTATCCCCTTCCCCGGATTGATGATCTGCTCGATGCGATCGGGTGCGCTAACTAATTCAGCAAGTTCGACATTCGGCATGGGTTTCATCATATCTTGGTGAAGGAAGAAGATCGGCCCAAGACC